TCAGTGCAAAGGCTCTGGGGTTTAATCCTTAGTACCACAAAAATAAATAAATGAATAAAGTAATTTGTAAAGAGAAACAGGGCCTACTCCATGAAGAAATAAAGGCCAGGAGCCACTGAGGAGGGCAGGGCAGTCCTGGAGATATTAAACCCAGGCCCTTCACACTCAGCTACATCCCCAGCCTTACCTTTTTTTTTTTTTTTTTTTTTTTTTTTTTTTTTCATTTTATGACAGGGTCTCACAAAATTGCCCAGGTTGGGCTTAAACTCATAATTCTCATTCCTCAACTTCTCAGAGTGCTGGAATTACCATACCTCCTCTCAGGAGTCACTGTAATACATGGATGTATTTATGAACATAAAACACACAAGAGAAGAGCAAACCTTTTAGGCAGAGTGACTGCAAGACAGAAATGAGCTGAAGGTCTAGCAACCACATGGGCTAGCGTGATGAATCTGAAAGGTCCCTATATGAGTCAGTCTTCTTCACCCATTGGTTCTTTCCCAGAGGACTTCTGCAGCATAATTTGTGACATGGGAAGTGGCGTAGAGAGAGTTCCCATAATCTCTAGAGTTTCTCAATGAACTACCTTATCTCTGCAACATTTAAAAAAATAGACTTGGTAAAATTAACTAAAGTAGCAACAGCCTAGCTCAGCTAGAGCCAACTCTTGATTTGAATAAAGAGATCTATGCTTCACCCTAGCTTTCTGAAAGAGGAAATGGTGAGCTCTGTCTGAGGATAAAGGTTTTCTATTTTATTCTTTTCTGATTACCTGCCTAACAGTTCTAACCTATAATCAGAAAATATGTGGTGTGTGAATAAGCAGAAATAAATGGCCAAAACCAAGAGAAAGAACAGTCAATAAAAAGAATTATATAGCTCAAATAGGTTAGAATTAAAATAAGAATTTTAAATAATTTATATAATATATGAAGAAACATAAGCAAAGTAAGTGAAAAGATGCAGTATGTCAGTAGAGAAATGGAGCCCCCCCGCCGAAAGAAATTAGTGGAAATTCTAGACCTGAAAATATAATAGATAGCATGAGAACAATGTAGGGCTCATTAAAAGAAAAGATCATGGAATTCTGAGGCAAAATGATAGCAATTATTCAAATTCAGGCACAGGGGAAGCCTGAAAGGAAGAAATTGTCAGATCTCAGTATCCATGTGAAATGGATTAAATGTGTAATTGGAATTTTAGAAGATAGAGAAAATGAAGTGGAAAATATTTGAAGAAATAATGTAATAGGAGTTGTGCAACTTTTTTTTTTTTTTTTTTTTTTGTCACCGGGGGTTTATTGGGCCCTTTGGATTGAACTTGGGTCCTTGTGCTTGCAAGGCAGGCCACTGAACCACTGAGCTAAATCCCTGGCCCAGAGTTTTACAACTTTAATAAAAGAGGTTGGCTAACAGACATTAAAAAACAAAGCAGACCTCAAGAAGGACTCATAAATGGAACCATACCTAGGTACATCTTAAACTGAGAAAAAAGAAAATTACAAATTAAGCACAGGGAAAGGAATGCATTACATTCATGGACATAATAAGCCTTCCTTCTCGCACAGAATGATGGAATAAAATAATTTTCTGAACAAAAGTGATAATCAGCCTAGATCTTAATATCCAGTAATAACACCGTTCCAAAATTAATATATAAATGAATGTGGTAAAGAAGAACAATCAATCACCAGCAGATTTATACTACACGAGACTCTTCAGGGGTGATGAGACTCTGAAGAGATATGATCTCAATGAAAATCTAGTTCTGCAGGAGAGAATAATGCTGGAAGGGATGAAAGTATAGGTAAATATAGACTGATTTTTAAAATTCTCTAAGACTAATAACATTTTTAAAACTATGCTGATAATATATTGTGTCATATAGAAGTGAAATATAAAATAGTGGTAGCTTAAAGGTAACATAGTTGGAGTGATTCTGTTTTAAGGTACTTACACTGTTTTTGAAGTGCAAATTCCTATAATTCAAAGTGAACTATAATAAATTGAGATATATACATGCACGCACATACACACACATATGGATATACATATATATGGTAGGCATTAAGAAAGACGAAGAGCTATAGCTAAGAAGCCATCAGGATCATAAAAGATTAGTGAAGATACTTCATGATTTCAAATGAAGAAAGGAATAAAAAAAATGCAGTAAAACAGCAAGATGGTAAATTTAATCAAAGTCATATGAATAATTGCACTATATGTAAGCATTAAAAGTCAGATTATCATACTGAATAATATAACAATAATATATGTTGATAGATTTATTTATATTTTATTCATTTTTATTGATTAATTCTATAGATACTCCATGTTAAATTCATTTGGAGATATTCTTATTTTAAAATAGTCTGTGATATAAAGTTGGACATTTGAACTATATTCCTGCACAATGAATATATTTAATGAACATACAGATTTATAATTTATAATGAAGGCAGGGAAGAGTTAAAGTTTGGTCTGAAAAATCTGTTCGCAGAATTCCTTCTCTCATGGAAGATCAAATTATTTTTTAAGGCTTTTCTATGTCTTAGACAAGACCCACTTATATTATGGAGGGCATTCTACTTGTTTACATGTTAATTCCATCCAAAATTAGTGGCAAAGAAACATCTAGCTGTTTGACTAAAATCTAGATTCAGTGACCTAGTCTAGTTGATATAAAAAATTAACCATATAGCAAACTGCATATTATGAACTTCACTCATCTTTGCACCTTAATAAAAGTTAAATGAGACAGATTTTTAAAGTAAAATATACTTAAAATGTGAAGCTATTTGAGTTCACTTTTCCTTAAAATAATACCTCTCTATTGTTTACCTTAAACAGACATACATGATTATCTTTCCAGACAATACTTCTAAACATCTCAGTTTAAAATCGAGATTGTAACTTTGAGTAATCCACTTTTTAAAATTCTAGTTTTCAACATGTTCTTAAATTGAAACAAATTAGTTTTTCTTATAATTGTATAGACTTTGGAAGTGCTTTGTTTTTGTTTCTATGGTTACTTTTTATTTCCAATTTAAGTTATTTTCTGATTGGATGAGAATTTAAAAATGTGTAAATACCGAATAGTTTGTCTGGTGTGAAATACTATAATAGTACATAAGATCCTAATGAGATAATTGACAATGTGAAATAGGAAGAAAAGTGCTAAAGGTGTAGGGAAAGTAGGAAGGGTAGGGGAAAGGTAATAAGGTAAAAGAAAAAATATGAGAAAATGAAAAAATGGAAATAAAGTGTTTGTAAATGGGGAGGGGAGAAGGGAGTAAAGGGAGGGCAGGGACAAGGGGAAAAAATGAGAACCAAGACCTGTCATGTAAAGGTACAAGATCCCAATAATGAATGTAATTATACTGTATACCTAAAATGTAACAATAAACTCAATTTAAAAAAATAAATGAATAAAAATAGATATTTAGTCTGGCCCAGTTTTGTGGCAGTAAGAGTACAATAGTGAGAATTCACATGTAAGATATTGCCAGTGCCCGAACCTCAGAGTACGACCATGCACATTTGAAAGCAAGTACATCATAACAGACTGCACTCAGTGATTGCAATGAGGAGGGTTGTAGACGTGGGGCCTGGGAAGTGAGGATTTCACCATGTGTTCTATATACTTCTGTACTGTTAAATTCTTACAGGAATCTGTGTTACTTGAATATTTTCTACTATGTTTTATTCATTTTTTAAAATTTGTAACACAGAGCTGGTGTTGATGAAAAAAATGTCTCTCCATTTAGATTTACCTTAAAGATTTAATACACTGGAGACAAAACCTGGGTCATTTGCTCTATAGATTTTTCCTCCAAAAAATGGTCATTTCTATTTCTGAGACTCTTGAAATTATAAATCATAATTTATTTATCTTCTGTCAGTGAATGGCAGTAAATATTAGTTGAATGAAGGTAGTATAGTACTTCATACTTCATTGGCTAACAATAGATAGTGAAATAATTTTTTAATAAAACAAAACCTTTTAAAAATATTTATGGTACTTTGTTCATTTTTAATATTCTTGAAAGTAATAAAAAGCAATTGTGTTATGTTGATCTTATGTAATCCTTTATTATACTAAGAAAAATAAGTTAAATGCTTACAAAAGATAGAGACTGACATTTCATACTAGGAATTCTGCTAATTGCTATCAACAGACCTTATAATTCTCACTTTAACCAGTCATGTGTCATGACCTTTGGTGTTATTTGAACAAACTCACTCACTTGTTAGTTTACTAATGGACAGAGATTGGAAATTAAATGAAGCTCACACCAGTGTTCACCTTAACATGAGCATGATTTGAACCAGTGTGTTACAGATGAGACTTAATATATTACATCTTTAAAGGCTGCTTATACCCCCCCAAAAAAAGCACTAGAGAACATTGGGAACAAAAAGATAAATTCACACATGATAAGGGGATAATTCTGAAGATTAGCACACAGTGTTGTCACCCTAAAGGAGAGAATCATGGAAATTTTTTTTCTTCAGTCACTCCATGGTAATTGAATAAATAGTAGGATATGTCATAGTACTAAGCCAGATCAAAGAGAAATTGGAACAGATTTTTTCTTTTGATAAAATAAGGAAGTAGTGATTCCTTTTATAGCTTTTATTATATTTCTTTATAAAACTTGATAACCTCAAGTCAGAAATAAAATTATCCTGGGAAAAATGCAGCTAAGTCCAGGCAATGCTATAATTTTTAAACTGAGAGCAAGATAAGGATGCATCTTGCACTATTGCTAGACACCACTGGAATGGGAAGATTGGCTTAGTTAACCTTAAGTCAGGTGAAGTAGCTAAACTAACAAACTACTCTGACCAGAAAATTCTTAACACGGTGTGAAAGGATCCTTGTGTGAGTGAGCCTTTTCTTCTTGTAAACTGTATGAGTCATATCTTACTGACATAAATATTTTAAAAATGATTAGGCCTAAGAACCAATTATTCACAATTTTTTTCTTTCCATAGGGAATATCAGCATGGAAAGAAGGCCTTGTAACCATCAGATAGATTCAGCTCCAACGGTAAGCCAATCTCTCCCTGCATTGTTAAAAGTTGATAAGAAACTATAAAATTATGCTGGTTACAAGGACACAGAGTGGCATTGTAGAAAACTGTTAGTAACCTTCCTTTGCCAAAAGTTAAATCCCTACAAAAAAATTTTGTAATATTTGCCAAAATGTAATAAAATGCTTTTCTATGTACTCGTATGAATTTTAACTTAAAATAGTTTTATTTTGATAAAGTAATGTAACTTTATGCAAACTAATAAATGCTTTTATTAAAAATGAATGTTAATTTGTATTATAGAGTACATGCTTATAATAGTGAACGAACACTGTAATGCTTCATTTCATACAGGTTACTTTGCTTTAGTATTGTAGAAGGAAAATCTTCCTAGTTGTTCCTCTTTTACTACTAGACAATAAAGGACATTTAGTTAGAGTACTTTTGCTATGTTTTAAAAAATATATTGTAAAAGAAAAACAATTTGATCTTCCTTTTAGTCTTTGAATATATTTTTATAAAATATACATCAATTCCCAGTTGCTGGTTGAAAGATTCTTAAGGTGATATAGACCAGAGTGCATCTTAATTTTCTTTCAACATAATGTCATGTATGATGTTTTCTATGCAAGTCTTTCAAGTACTTCATATATATTTACCATTAACTATTATGAAAAAGATCAGGTAATATCTCTTATAAGAAAGTAAAGGCAATAATAAGCTGTATTTGTATTTTAATGCTGATTAATAAAGCCCCATTAGAAAATTCACTCCATTTTCTATCTGTAATAAATCTACGTGACCAGTTGACTTTATGTGTTTGATCATTTATGTGTGATTCTCCAGAAAAGACTAATGTATGAGGAACTAGTCATTAGCATAATCATAAAAATTACTTGGCTATTATGCGTTTTCACTTATCCTTTAGTAAAAATCCTTAAAGAGTAACCAACCATAACATTACATAAGGTTTGTCTGGGGATGTAGCTTAGCAGCGCAGCACCTGCCTGGCAAGCACGAGGCCCTGGGTTTGATTCCTGGTACCAAAAAAGAAAAGTGAAAAAATTACATAAGTTCTATTGCTTAATATTAAAAAATTAAAATTACCAATTAAGGAAATTTATTAATGTACTTGAATGATAGAACCAGTTTATTTGTTTACATGTTTTTGAAATTTGTTTTATTCCCACAGGCTTCCCTATGGCACTTGTGTTTATATTTCTATTTTGTTTATACATTCTGGAACTCAGAAAAGCACAACCTGGCCCAACTTTCTTATTGTACCCTCTAAGCTGATTACAGATCATCTCATGCTAATTCAGTGATGAAGTTGTAAAACCTAATGCACATAAAATTGCGAGAAAGAATTGTTTTAATATTTACAGTAATGCCCTAATGATATCAAAATAAATCCTTGAATTAGACATTGAACCTGAGCATAGTAGTTTAGGTAATAGTAGTCTGTTGAAGAGACTTTTCTGGTTGGACTATGAAATGGTAGTTTCTAATGTATCAGTACCATAACTACTCTGTACAGCCAATAATTTTTCATGTACGTGGTGCACTCCCCAAACAGACCAGATTTTGACTTGAGCCCACTTTTCTGATATGTTTTTTCTGAGGAAGAACTAGGCTAGGTACTCTTCCCTTCCATTGCTTTACTATAAACAGTTTCTACCATTAAAGAGTTTTGCAGAAGAAAATGTTTAGAATAAAGGAAAAAGGAAGAAGCTTGTGTAAAAATTTAACAAGATAAAAAATTTAAATCCAGAATGTTTGTTCTTCTAGCTTGAAAAGAAGGGATATAATAAATTAAGTTACTCCCGGTGCCTGAGAAAAAAATAATGTGTGCCAAGATTTTAGAATGACTGAGACTGGGACATTGAACTATTCTTAATCCTTTACTAACCCCCAGTTTCCAGCTTCTGTTTTTATCCATTATTGCTTCTACTTCCCTCTTTTTCTGAGTACCCAGTGGCTCATCTAGGAGCACTCTGTAGATTCTAGTTGCAGGTCTTTAGCAGGTGAGGGAAATGAGTAGCTGAGAATTTCTCAAGAGAATGATGTTTGTTGATAGTCCAAGTTTAAATTATGCATGAACTTTTCTGTAAATATATGGTTATACGGGATAGTTTGATCGTATAGGGCTATAATATAATGCAGTGTCGCTTAAGTAAATATAGATTAGCCTGAGAACAAAACCACCTGTCCCTTTGTTATGTGTCCCCTCTCACTCTGTTTACTCATTTCCTTCTTTGTTTTTTTGTTACATAAACTTTGTTTTTGTTATGTATTTGTTGTTTATTTGGGATTTTTTTTTTCCTTTCTGACACAAATAATATCCTGTTTTGGGGAATGCCTTTAATAGAAAGTGAAAAGGAAAATCTATCCTTGGTATGATCCCGCCCCCCCCATCAAAAATAATCAGAGTAGACTTTCAAGTTATTTTTTCCAAAAAATATATAATAGTTGGTAAATTATTTAAGTATACATATATTTCTCAGTTATCATTGAATGCAACATATTTTTTATTATTTTGGTATAAGCTTTTACCTAAAAACTTTATAGAAGTTGATCATTTTTGTCGTCTGGGATTATAAGAGATGTTTTATAAGAGATGCTACACGTTAGCCTGATATTTATTCTTTTGTAGAGGTAACCTTTGACTTGCTCATATAATGTATTATACATTTTATTTTCTTTGTACGTAATGTCCTAATTCGGATTTTATTTACATGTCACTTCTCACTAATTTTTTCCTTTTTTCACTCACGCACTGTAATTTTATAGGAAAAACAAATAAGGCATGAGAAAATCAAAATGTTAGATTATATGAGAAGTGGATCATATCTTTTTAAGAATTTGTCCTTGCACCTGCTTATAATCTATGGTAAATTAAGGATATCAGCCCACATTAATCAGAGGTCATTATTTGAACTTTGAGAGGCAAGTATAAAAGTTAATAGTTAAGTCAGCCAAGGCTTAAATCCTGTATTTAAATGAGGACTTATTTGCAAATCAAAGAGAAATAGAAACTAGCATTAAGTATTGTTAAAACATATCTGCCTTTTAATGTATAATATATGCATAGCAAATTTTATAGCTTTTGTTTATGGCAGAATTACTATGCATGTAAAGTACATTAAGACATAATAAGAATCAAGATTGATTATGTAAAGGTACAAATTTCCAACAGTGAATGTCATTATATTGTATACATTAAATGTACCAATAAAATTAATTTAAAAAAATAAAAATTCATTAAACAAGTTAACAAAACATAAGCCATACTGAATATAAATGATGATCAAAAAATACAGTGCATGCTTAAATTTTTTAATTTATTAGAGAAAATTATTATTAATCCCCCTCCTTTCTTTATTCATGCTTTTCTTGCTGTTTTGACCACTTTCTGAAGCAGCTCTAGAAGGAAGTTCTCTTTCGTATATTTAAGAAGTATGACCTAAATATGATGAATGCTGTTACTGCTGCATGCCACCCAGCAGAGAGGCTAGCTCCTAAAACCTTTACATTGTGTCCTCGTCTACATGATTCACCATATCAGGCAGCGTGTGACTTCTGGTTCTTCCCCAAAGTCAAAGTGACTAGGGTGAAAGGTAAACATTTTGAATGAATTCAAAAAACATCACGGCAGCCACACTACAACTAATGACACCTATGATAAGGAACTTCCAGATCTACTTCTAAAAGTGGTAAGACCAATTAAGTATAAGTATATTCAAAGCAAGAAGGAATAGTGGCAAGGTGTCATTCATTTACTGTATTTTAAAAAAATTTTAGCACACACCATATTTTTTAATCACACTTTGTATAAAAAATTTTAGTGATTTTTAAGAGTATTCATTTTTAGTCTCTTGCAGGAAGAATGGATATGATAAAATTCTAATATTGATATTAGAGTATTGATATTCTAATTAATCAATTTTTTGTAAACTTTCTAAACCTGTAACACTCAATATTACTCCTTTATAATTTATTCAGTGATCCTGCAATGTATTTGAAATCTGTTTCAACAAATGGGTTTTTGCAGTTTATAAAATTATAGTTTGCATTTTCTCAGAAGCCTATACATCTACAAAAACAAGTTCAAATAAAACTCATACCATATTATCAGAATTATAGCAATTAGGTGACTTACCTAACTATTCTTTTAATTATTAAGATTTAAAATATACTTGATTGCTTTGAACTTTTTTTTTTTTGTTTTGAAACAACGCCTCACTTTTTCGTTCAGGCTGGCGTTGTACTCAATGTATAGCCCAGCTGGTCTCGAACTCACAGCAGTCCTCTCAAGTGCTAGAATTATAGGCATACGCCACCACACCCGGCACTGTAAACTATATGTTGACTCAGTATTATTCTTTCTTATAAGACCAGTTATAAAGGAAAAAAACACCAGTTATATGAGCCATTCATTCATGCAAATTTTCTAAGGGCTGACTGATAAATTTTTGTCATGTAATTTATCAGTAGAAAACTTTAAAAATGTTGCAGATTTATTTTTTTATCCTGAAAATATTTCTGAGATGTCCAAATGTTGCTTGCCCTTAACCCTTAAATTATTCATAAATGTATAGATCTGAATCATACAAATTAAATTTCATTCTGTGTCTCTTTTGGAGCATACGATATCCATGTTTATTTTGCAATATTTTAATCTGTTACTGTTGTCAGATTATCATCATTATTTAGCCCTTTAGGTTCACAACATTACTACATACTACATTGTTATACTTGTAAAATGTAACTGTTTCATATTTTAATATAATATTTGGGACAGCTTGTTTATGTATAAATGTATGAGTTAAAATGAAATGTCTTTTGGGGGGTTTTTTTTGGTACTGGGAATCGAACTCAGGTTCTTGTGCTTGCAAGGCAGGTGGTAGAACCACTGAGCTAAATCCCCAGCCCTGAAAGGTCTTGATTCAAAGGGCATACTTTATTTTCTCTAATCTCTGGCATTTTCCAGGAATTCATAATATGTAAACTGAGGTGA